TTCCAACATGTCATGTTGGAAGATGATATATTTTACTATATGTTGGTGAACCAACTTGTTATGTTTGAAATTCTTGGGCCAACAACTTCCAACATGTCATGTTGGAAGATGATATATTTTACTATATGTTGGTGGACCAACTTGTTATGTTTGAAATTCTTGGGCCAACAACTTCCAACATGTCATGTTGGAAGATGATATATTTTATTATATGTTGGTGGACCAACTTGTTTATTTTAAAATTCTTGGGCCAACAAACTTCATCATCTCATGATGAAAAATTCTGTTTTAATGACTTTCAACCATCAAATTTTTTTTATTTTTAGTAAACCAACACGGACGTACTGATTTATCATTACTGGTAACCTATTAAGTACTAGTAACCGATTACTATTAACCGATCGGCATAGGTAACCTATCGATATATATCACAGATTCATTGCGTTTTATATTTTAAAACAGACTTTGAACAACCGACACAATTCTGAGTTTACAACTATTAATGCTCATTTCCGTACCCTTGTAATTTTGAACCCAATCCAGAAGACAGGGTAACTCTTGGAAGAATCAGAAGTTTTATCTAAATATCGTTTGTATCCAGCTAGTCTTTTTTTTCCATTATCTAAATGCGCTGGTTAATCAAATTTAACGGAATTAAACAACGAAAAAAAATAACAAAAAAATAAATAAATAATTAACTAAACAAAACAAAATAATGAAAAAACAGAATATTTGGCTTAATAAAACAAAATAAAAACGCAAAAAGGAGTAAATAACAAAGGTGTAGTTCTGAAAAGAACTTATTTTTCCTAAAATTTAAATAGCAAAAGAAAATTAGAAGTAGCACGCCTAAAAAATTGCTTAGATCATTTAGGAAATCGGTTGCAAACTTCTACAATCTTAAAATCTTACACTCACTCAAAAAGTATTTACATTCCAAACTATTACAATGGCAACCGCAAAAATCCTCTCGTTATCATCTATAAACTGATATATAATAAGTAAATTATTTAACAAAAAATACGGTGAGCATAAGCACATAATATTTCACAACTGTCTCGAGAGAAATGTAGAATTCTTGCATGTGGGAAATTTTGTTTCTTAATTAATTCACTCTTCCATACATTAACAATTTTGTTGATACTTTGTGGATAATTTTTTGAAATGTTTGCTTACGTGAATTATCATAATCAGTCAGGGAAAACGTACTACGTCCCCATTAACTTTATAAAAAACCTATTCCCCAAATCGACAACAGATTTCGAGAAAGTCAAAAGTTTTTAAGTCTTTTGGCGTCCGGATCTTCTTGTTAATCAAGAGGAAGTTGAAAATCTTAAGAAAATGGTAAGACTCATGGGACAGACTTAAAGGAACATCCTACAACAGTGCTGATGTATTGCGTCGAGGAGG